ACAAAACACGCAAGTCTAAGCCTAATACAGTAAGAAAGTGATTACAGATAAAATCTCACCCTCAGAGAGATTCCAATAAGCTTCTTTCACAGACTGGACGCCTTCCTAGTCTGCGACCATCCTTTCCTCCGGTGCAGCCCTTATTCCAGCTCAGGTGGTAGCTAGGGGATTTCTCATGGAATGCAGCCCCCTTTGTTCTGTTCCACCCCCTTATATAGCTTTGGCACAAGGCGGGAACCCTTTGTCCCTCTCTGGGTCCCCCCCCCCTTCTCAATGGAAAGACACCAGGTTAAAGATGGATTCCAGTTCAGGTGACATGATCACATGTCGCTGTAAGACCTCATTGCCCACTTGCCAGCACACACGTATACAGGGAGACTCACAGGTAAAACAGAGCCATCTGCAGACAATGGTCCTGGTTAATGGGAGCCATCAAAATTCCAAACCCCCATGAATGGCCCCCACTTTGCATAACTACAATAGGCCTCAGAGTTATAGTTCATATTTCTAGTTTCAGATACAAGAGTGATACATTCATATGAATGGGATGAACACACTCAGTAGATTATGAGCTTTGTAATCAAACCTTACAAGAGACCTTTTGCATGAAGCATGTCCCAGTTACATTATATTCACACTCATTAGCATATTTTCATAAAATCATATAGAGTGCAACGTCACAGGATGGATACCCGGGGATGGGTGAATAGACAGTTGCAGGGTTGAGGAGAGTGGATGGATGGATGGAGGGAGGCTGGATGGACGGGGGATGGGCAGGGTGGATGGATGGATGGATGGCTACACTAGGAGGGAGGCGGGATGGACGGGGGATGGGGAGGGAGGGATGGATGAGGAGATGGATGGATGGATGGATGGATACACTAGGAGGGAGGCTGGATGACCAGACAGTTGGCAGGAACAGAGGGCAAAGCCCGGGTCGCCGCGGCGAGACAGGCCCCCCCGGGGGAGCCCGTGGCAGGAACAGCCCCTGGAGCCGCTGACCCCACGGCTTGACCCTCCCCCCATCCCTCCCCCTGCAGCTGCGGAAGGGCCCGGACAGGACGGTGCTGGAGGTGAACACGCCCCGCGTGGAGCAGCTCCCCTTGCTGGACGCGCACTTCACGGACTTTGGGGAGCCCAACCAGAAGTTTGGGTTTGAGGTGGGACCCGTCTGTTTCCTGGGCTAGGACCAAATCCCCATGAGCCCTGCCCTGATCCCTGAGGGAACGTCCCAGCCTGGCCCAGGCCCCACCATCCCCCGAGCAGCGAAGCTACGGGACCTACCAGCCACCTGAGGGACGGACACGCCACGACCACCCACAGCCACCGAGACTGACGCACCCGGCGCCGTCTCCCGCTGGGACCAAGGACTGGAGAGAGACATCGAAGAGACATCACCGCTTAGAGCCCACCTGTATTTTAACGTGTAGAGAGAGGACAATTACACCCATGTGCTGGCTGGATCCCTCGGAGCCCCACAATCCTCCAGCCAGAGCTCCCAGAATGCCCCAGCAACATCCCTCAGAGCCTGTGGGCCATATTTCCCAGAATGTCTCAGGGCACACCCTGCATAGCTCCCAGAGCCCCTCAGCTCTAACCCCAGACTGGAACCAACCCGAAACGATGGAACCGGTACCCCGATTTCCCCTCTCACGGGGGAGCAAAGCCATTAATGTCTAATGAACATCATGAGCAAACCAGAGTTAATTAACGTCAGCAGGGCGGCTGGCTCCCCTGTGCCAGGCAGCATTGTGGACTGA